TGTGAAAAACAAGTTACATTATAAGATTAATATGTTATATAATAAGAGGTAGTGTTGTTGTTGCTTCATTTGTTGGTTATTTTTATTTTTTTTTTCTCAACATTCAAACCAGAAAATATATTAAGCTCACAAAGATTGTTTGTTTTACATCAACGACACATAAATAGATCTGAGTCTGCAAAGGCAAGGAAAAAAAAACAAAACAAAACAGCCATACACCTTTACAATTGACATGAGAAACAAGTTTATAAATTTCCTTGCATAGCCATCTTGGCTAAACAAGCAAAAATTATAAAAATATCCTTATCAAAAATAACACTACAAGAATGAACAGATGAGCACAAATACTTGCATTCAACCACAGCTGCAGCTCTCATATCTAATGATTCCAAATTCCCACAGCACCAGATGACAACTTACTTGTTTGTCCATTTGGCAGGTCACATTTTTTTCCATTTATTATTGGCTGCATATTTGAGTACCCAAAGAGCAGACACAGTATAGGCCTCCACTGAACTTCCAATGAAGTCCCATACCTGAAACTCCAAATCCTCAAACCTAACCTACTGTGTTTGCATGAACCCCTTTCATTATCATCACTCTTCTCACCTGACCTCTCAGTCATCCCCAGCCGCCTAACATATAGCCTTGGTACTTCAACATTTCTCACATAAGTACACATAATCCACTCATCCATAGCCCTTTTAAATAATTCTGTTTCCAGCACTTAACAGCCCTAAACTGAAGTAAGATATGATCAATATTTTCCTCACACTCCCAAAAGACCTCACATACTATATCAAATTCAATTCGTCTCTTTTTCAGTTGTACCCTAGTCCCCACAAACTCATGGCAACATTTCCCGATTGAGGCATTACATCAAACACGTAATGTGCCTTTAAGAATACAACAAAACCAACATATCACTAATCAATCGCTAGTTAACAAATCCACATCCTCACATCAAATCATTATTCGTAACAATCAAATACAATAAAAGGATACGAAGCCCAAGCAAAAAATTTCACCAAAACAACCTATGTTAATAACACCACTACAAGGGTTTTGTATTATAAGCATGCCAAGAATATCCAAACATATTTCACTCTCCAAATAAAGTTACCTGGATGAATCGTGCGTGCGATTGCAATCTCTACATACAAAATTCTATCGACTAGTTACATATTGATTGTAAATCGTTCGAATATATGTTTGGGTAATAATACTGTTCTGATATTGACTCATGAGGAGAGGATGAAGGAGTTGGTCGGTTTGGTATGTAGAAGAACAATGAGGAAGAAGATGAAGTGGAAGATTGGTTTTGTCCATTTTCTTTTCCCAAATGAAGACGACGGATTGGAATCTTAAAATATAATTTTAGGTTGTGATGAAATTGTTTTAAATTTGTAGGATTGTTATGTAATTTACAAAAGTATATGGGGGCTTGAGAATAAATAAAATAGGTACAAGGGGTACGAAGGGTATAATAGGATTTTACAAGTACGAGGGGTACGAGAGAGAGTACAAGACTACCAAAATTCTTTTTTCCCTTGTACCCTTCAATCCATCTTTCATTGTCATATCTTAGTCAATCCAACGGTGAAATGGGGGGTTACCTGATGTTAGATAGGTACAACCATGACCTGACTGTAGAAGATCCCTTGTTTCTATCAATTTTTATCTTACAAATCAACTTTTTTTTTTTCAAAAAAATAAAAAATAAAAATAAAAAACACTCGATTGTTTAATTTAAAGAAAAAGTCTTCACAATAAATCCATTGCTAATTGATTCACTACATCAAATCCACATAGTTGGAAAAAATTGTAGATCCTAATCATCATCAAAATAATATACACGTCAAATTGATTATAACAAATCCCATCATTATTGTTATAAATATATTATTATGGACATTACTAATATATATAATTGGGCCTGAAGTCAAATAGTTAGGAAAATTAAATTTTAGGGTTTCTCTCTTGTAAACTCTATAAAAGGGTGATATACCGATAATAAAAGTACACACTTTTATGCTTGGATTGATGGTTGCTAGTTGAAGATTAAGAGTTCCAATTTACAACGCGTTATCAGCACACTCTAATCCATAATTTGTTGGTATTTCCCAAGGAAAGAATCGCGTACTTCCTCACAAGTTAAATTTTTTTAACAGCAATAATTACATAAATTGTTGATTAATTATTCAACTATAATTCGGCCTCGATGGTGGAAATCCTATTGGTATTGTGATTCATATCGGTTATGATGATTTTTATATTAATCTGTGTGGTTTTGGTATGTTGTGAATTTTGATCTGGCCGCTTGAAGTTGAGATTTGGAATTGATAAATAAATTCTGTTAACTTTTGTATATCTTGCACGTGCTGAGAACTTGCTTCCAAATGACATGTTCCGACAATCAATAATATGAATTGGTAGACTTATGTTATGTCTATATCAGTACTGTGAGCCCATCTCTAGTTAAATATCATGCCCCTACTTTGAGAATTGAGATTGATATATGTTTCAGTTTGGTTCCTAAAAGTCTTAAATTTCGATTTTATGTATTGGTAAGGACCTGTGCAAACATAAATTCATGTGCTTGAGAATTTTAGGATCAGTATGTTCATTTGCATACATATTTATTTTGGATTGAGATAGTGCAGGTTTTTACAAAAGGTTTTAATGTGATATGGGATTCCAACATGATTTTTAATTGTTCATCAAATATTCAATATGTTTGTTAGTATTCGGAAATCTATGTGATTGAATTCAATTGTGATTTGTTTGGTTTGAAACTATTTTGCGTAATGAATTCTTTAACATTGTTATAATTAATTGCAACTTTGCTATGATTATATGAGTTGATCACATATATGAATATTTAAAGTGATGTATTTTATGTAGGATTAAATCCAATTCTATCAACTTTGTTATTGAATTATTTGAGACATCGTTTCTTGTTTTGAATAAATTATAGATGTCTGATATCAACAAAAGAGAATTTACTGAGCTCGCCCTTGATGGAAGTAATTACTT